ATTTCTAAAGAGTCAGTAGGATGTGCATATAAACGTGGTTAGTCACAGGTGCATGCAATCCTAATGAAGGATTGAAACACTGTCACTGAAATTTAGTGTGTGGCCGCCACCTTGTGGTCAGAATGGGAACAGATGTAAGTTTAAAAGAAAAGGAAAAAATATAAAAACAAAAGGAAAAAATTAAAAATGAAAACAACCAAAACCTAGAAACAATGAAATACATTTTAAATTCTTTATTCTTGAATATAGTGAAGTATAGATGTCATGCAAAAATTACCATTTGCAGACTCAAAAATCCCAAAGACAAAATTGGATTTCTTGGTTAACATTTGGTATTCTTTTCCTGAAATGTTATGAGATTTTCCCCAATAATGAAACTACTCGGTGTTTTTATACATACTTTTAATTCTGTGTATACATGTCTATGTAAAAATCTGAAAAGAGCTAAGTACAGTGTAATTGGAGTAATTTCTAGAAATCACTATTGCRTTTTGACTTATGTATTTTCAATAACATTTCCATAAGAGTTTTTATAGTTTTTCAAAAGTATGTTCTTATTTGTCACCCAAGTTTATGTCTTGTAATATCCTAGACTATTCTATATCTCCTTAAGAATTAAGGATTTTTTTGTTATGATTTTAAACACAAGGGTGATACTTCCTGAAGTTTAAAAATATTTTTTGTGAGCAAATGAAATTAGAACTACTTGGATTAAATGTTAAACAAAGTTGAACAGGCTTTTTTGCCGTGCAACTTCTCTGACAACTTCAGTTTGCAGTTGACTCTAAGCAAGTCCCAAACCCTGCTTCTTGGTCTCACTTTCTCACTTCTTCCCTTCTGGAGTTAAACATTGTACTAAATTTTGTGTTTCCAAAGAACTAGTTGTGAAATGTGTGGATAACTATTCACTGGACACACTTTGAATTGAAAAATTGCAGTTAAAATACCTATAAATATAAAATCTGGATATATGCAATTTCTGAAAATTATGTTACTACAATTGTAAGAAAATATTGTCACTTTRATTCATGCCTCAATTGTATAGGATCACTCAACACTTTGAGAAATCATTCCTTTTATATCGGAGCCAACAAACCAAGATGCATTCTCTTCTAAATATTGTTTATCATGTCTTTCCAAATGAGACATGAATATCTACCTGACAATTTGATGTTAAAGAATGCATGTTATTTTGATGGTGAAACTGTTAAAARTTTGATTGTGAAACTGTTAAAAATGGAATATCAAAAGTAAATATCTTAAAAACAGTTAAGTCTTTCTCCCATTACATAGTACAACCCCATGCTGAAACTTACAATTATCAAGATATTTAGTAGGCATAAATTCTGTTTCCTTCTCCCCTTTTAGAATCAAACCATACTATTTTATGTTGGGCAAGGATGTGGCAGAGACATATACCCTCCAGGATATAAATGTACCTAAGCCTCATGGAATCTCTAGTTTCAGGGACACCCCAATCATATCTTTGAATTCTTCATCCTCATGCTGTGCTAACAAGGGTCCATAAATGACAGTCCCTACTTCACAAGTTAAGAAATTCAGTATCCAGTAAGTCACTTAAATTTTGTATCATTCATCTCCTCTGCATTGAAAAGTTTTATTTTATGTTTGGTAAGTTTCATAGTAGAATAGTTCAAAAATAGCTAAACTCTATTTATCATATATACTGGGACAGTATCTGTTTTATGGTGTTTATGAGTTTATCACATTTAATTCTCATGATGACTCTATGTGGTAAAGATTGTCACCATCAGACAGATGTAAACTGGAACAAAAACATTTGAATACGTTTGCTCAGAGTCACACAACCAAGAAGTGCTGGGCCCATTGTTCAAAATGAGATGTTTTGACTCACAGTCTCTGTGCAACATTCTGCTCACACAGTCACCAACATGCCTCTGTGTGCATCTGTAGAGCCACACTGTGTTCTGGACATAATGCAATCTCTAGAGTAAGCATTACCTTCCCTTATTTGGCAGATGTGGTAACTGGGTAACTGAATGGTTATCCAGCTCCAGAGCAAGGAGTTTGAAAACACCCACAGTCACTGGTCAGTCTCAGAAGCCTGCTTCTGCTCAAGGAAGAAGCAAATACATAAGCCTTCTTCCTGTTTGCAGCCAGAGTCACAAGGCTGAGCTTTATTTACAATCCAGTTGATGGCACAGCCCAAACAGTACACTTTTCACTGTGCACATGGGCTGATTCATGAGGGAGACGAGGTCAGTGAGGGAAGACTCCTTTGGTAATGTTATGGGGTTCACTTTCTATTAAGTGGTTATTTAAATCAAGAGCAATGGTATTTTATATGTGTGCCATTCTCTTGACCAACTAGATGATTTCACTGCATTTTAACAAATCAGTTTCTTTTTTCTCTGCCCATGAAGTGGGATTGTAGTAGGAGGGTCCCCCCACAGCTTATGCTCAGGAGGCCCTTGAGACCAATACTCCTGTGGGCTTGAGTTGGTTACCAGAAAGTACCCTTTGAGTTCTTAAGCAGAAGAGAAATGAGAATCTTGAAGGACCTACTGCCTATCTGTATTTATCAGAGAAGTATCCAGACAAGCTCACTACATTCAGAAACCAATATAAAATTACATTTTTTGCTATTTATAAGACAAAGATTAATTTTTGTTCAAAGTTATAGATGTTATAGATCTGGTTTTTAGCCATGCAGTGTTTAATTGCATTTTTGGTGTGTGTTTGTGTGTGACAGAGCATGCACGTATTTTGTTTGTCATTTGCCCAGGAAGTCTATAAATTATCGAAACTAAAGGAGAAAAGATATGAAGCATTGCCTAAAATAATGCAAAAAAGAGTGATGATGATTTCCAATTAAACTGGCACRTTTGCAAAATTATTTAATGCCCAGAAGCATCAGGAATTTGATTTATTGGTATTCCTAGATTATCTATTGAATGTCAGTAAAACCACTAAAATTTGATTACTGGTTCCAGCACATCAATTGACAGTTTCACAATTAATAAGAAACAGAAACAAGTAAGATCAATGTGGACTACTTGAAATTCAAATGTCAGTGCTCTTATCAACATAGCATTGAACTTCACTTAAATCCAGAATATAGTAATGCTTTTATTTACATATTTAGAAGTATTAAGTTAACCCATTCTAAATTTTTATAATAATTTTCAATTCTTTATGGAAGATCAATAAATATTCATGTCTCTCTACAGGTATTCTTTACTTGTTAGATGACTAGCCTTCTGAAATCACTGCAGTAAATTAAGTCATGCTTTTTACAAAACCATTTTGCAGTTATTCAAACCAATTTGCAGAAAACTCCCTTATGCTTTGTGTATAGATTTTGACATCATTTATTATCTGCTCAACAGACCATATAAGTTCTACAAAAACGATTATGGTTGGCTATAGAAATTCAAATTTAGCACCATAATAAAAAGCAGATTTTTGCAGTAATGTATTAGATGATTAAATTTCACATTGTAGCAGTTTTTAATAGTGCTTAACAAGTCACTAACTCAATAAAATGTCAGGTATGAGACTGTTCTTTTCAAAATGACTGTATTCTCTACTTTTTCATATATATATGAAACTGACTAGGAAGTCTTTGCACCCTCTACCTGGAACTTAAAAGTCAATGGTGGGGGTGGGGGGGAGGTACTGTGTCTAAATCCAAGATAGCTATGTCTTGCTTTTGACTTCTTGGGGTTTGAGAACTTTACTTTAAGAATTTCTCTAGAAGTGTTAAAATATTCCAAGTTGCCTTATGCAAAATATTTTCCTGACCATTTTGAATCATATCTAAAATACACTAACAAAGCTAATATTGTAAAACACAGGCACTAGTTTTGAAAATGAAAAAAAAAATGTCATCATGTATGACTGTAGTTTTAAGAAATCTTGATCCTTAAAAAGTCTTCACTGGGCTGGAGGGTTAGCTCAGTGTAGGGTACTTGCCTGAGGATTGATTCCATCACAGCAAAATAGATCAATAGGTTTTTATTGCTCATTCAACTAATCACCACAAATTACCCATTTTGTGTAGGCCATACATTTTTCTAGGATGTCTATATGTATAATAATTACAGAACTATTTAAAACAATAAGAATTATAACTCATGAGGTATACAGTGATTACAGAGGTAAAAACAAGTTTGTCTTAAAGGACTCTGGACCTACTCTAATCTACAATGCAGTGTTACTATAGAGGTTGTTCTAAACATGCCATTCTTCTAATCATAAAAAGGAACATTTTCTTAACATTAAAATGATATCTAACATTTTACCTTGCTGAATTGACTGTCCCATGTAATTATCAACCTAGCTTTCTTGTTTTCTTTGAGTTTCAGTTATACTTCACAGTGCCTAAATATGCATAATAATTTGGAAGTCATGGTCATTGTAGTCTGTCACTAGAATGTATAAAATACTTGCATAATGGGCTAGTTTTATTTTTTTGTGTGTGTATATAAAATTTGAATTAATATATTGTTTCTGATGTTCAGGATTAATTTCCTCTTGATTCTGAGTATCCATGACTTGTATTTTTTTTTTCATATGCCTAAGTGACTTCACAGGAATTGATTTATGAATATTTTCTCATTATTATCTGATACGTATTTTTCAAAATATTTTAATGTTGCAATTATGTGGTTTTGTACAGCAAAACTAACTTTATGCATGTGGGATTTCTTTGTAAAGAATAATCCACATCAGTAGTCAGTATACAGGTTTTGCTCAATTAATGTATGACTTAAAAACAAGCTAGAACCCTCTGTGGATGGTAGGATTCATGGCAGAAGTCTCATACCGTCTTATTAGCTGAGCCCCCCAGAAAAATACGCAAGAGACAATGAATGCTAAAGCCATACTTCTGAATATCGCATGGCCGACTTTTTGCCTTGATCTAATGGCAAATTATCAATCTAATCTTTTTGCAGTGTGATTTATGACTGAGCTAAGATACAGCTCTCTTTCTTTGTCTTGTTCTTTGTTTTTAGCTCCTTGTGAAGGCAACACGTTCTTCTGCCATAGTAACATGTGTATTAACAATACATTGGTCTGCAACGGACTCCAGAACTGTGTGTATCCTTGGGACGAAAATCACTGTAAAGGTAATGATCAGATCTTGAAATATGCAAGGTCCCCTTCCTAAGGAATGGGAAGGAAGTCTGTATGAACCTGACTTAAAAATTGAGCATATAGTGGCTTCTATGAGCTTCATCTGTTTTATATAACCAATCTGTAAGCAATTTTCTTTACCTTGATTTGCACTGTATCCAGAAGTTTCCTAATTTGTGCATGTATACTGGACGATAATTGATACTGGAATGGCCATTAAAGACATCTTGTTAGAGTCTGCAGAACCATGGAAATTACATGGATGCCTACAGCACAGCACATTTTTTCCCTAGTGTAACGGGTACCCCTTAAATCCATGGTGACACTCCTCATTTACTCCAGTTTGTCTTTGTTGCTCTTTGAGCTCATCATCTGGTGATAAAATATGTTGCAGGGGCATTGATACTTCCAATTGCTTCCGCCACCTAATTCTACTTCTATTTTGCTACCAAACCACCTAATTCCACTTCTATTTTGCTACCAAAATGCTTTTCTTTCTTTCCAATAAAAATAGTAACTAGTGTCCCTGAGCCCTTCTCTAGCCTATGCACACAGATTTTTTTTTTTCATTTAAACAGAGTTACTTGGCTGGTTTGTGTGGCATTGATTAGTTAAGTTCGAAGTGCCATATAAACTCTTTCACTCAAGGTCAATATTAAACACTTATCAAAGAAAAATAAACAGGCAAATAATTCTATTATGTTTATAAAAGTCCAATGTTATCTATCAAAAGGCTTTCTTCAAGCAGAAGTGTTGAGTAGCCATTGCTTGATTGAGTCATTTAGAATGGCAGGTCCATTATAAAGAATGGTCTGGTATCAAGTACTTCCATGGGGGTGTTGGTGACAATTGTGGAAGAACCACTTGTGAGCAAATGAGAAGTTAAATATTGTCGGACCTGCCCTTATGCAGCACTGGAGATGAGTAGTAGTCACCATCAGCCTCCTGCCCAAGGTGGACTTGTGGCCATACCTGTAAAGAACATTGGAGCCAAGAGCATTGAGAGAATGTGTACCTGTGAGCTTGGGGGAAAACCAAACCCCTTTCTCCAGATGAGGAAAACTTATTTAAGTTTGCAGTTCATTCTCTTGTGATAGGAGAATGCACTTCTTTCTTATCATTTCAATCATTTCTAATTGATCAGGTCTGCTGTTGGGGCTTAGCCTACAATGTAGCCTAAAAGAATGTACCACATGCCCTTGAAAGGAACATGTCTTGTTGATATTGGGTGAATCTGAGATACTGCTATGTCTAATAGGCCTATTTCAGAGGTGTTCAAGATTTTTGTTTTCCTTTTGATTTTCTCGCCTCTGGTCCATTATTAAGAGACAGTATTCAGTTCTTTAAGTATCATTCTTGAATCCTCTGATTCTCTCTTCAACTCTGTAAAGCTTTTGATTCGTGCATTTTTTAGCTTGGTGGAAAGGTCTGTAAAAATTTACAACTATTTTGTCTCCTTGATGGATTGACCCTTTTATCAACATAAAATGATGTAATGTTAAGAAACTTTTTTTTTTGTCTTAAAAATATACTTTGACATTGGTGTAACCACCTTTCTTTGGACTGTAATTCTACCCTTTTAATTTCAGACTGTGTCTTTGCCTATAAAGCATTTTCTCTGAATTGTTGGATCTTATTTTTTTTAATCCAGTCTAACAATCTCTGCTTTTTTCTTTAGTCATTTAATCTATTCCCATTTCATCACTATTAATATAGTTGGATGTATATTCACTATTATAGTTTTTGTTTTCTATATGTCTCATTTTTTATCTTTAATTTCTTTATTTTTCTCTTCTTTATAAGTTAACATACTCTACAGTAACATTTTAATTTTAAGTAATTTTTCAACGTAGTCTTGATTTATTTTCTTAGTGGTTGCTTCAGGGTTCTTAGTATATAGCTTGATTTCTCAGGATATATTTAAGATTTATAACAAAAATTCTAGTGAGATATATAAAAATTACTCCTGTACAGTTCTATTCTCTCTTCCATTTTTCACATTTTCTCCATATTACATCTATATATGTTAAATTCATTGCAGTAGTCATTAATTTATGTATTTTTATATCTCAAATTGGGAGAGGAAAGGAGAGCAGATATAGATTAATGTAATTTGTTAGACAACTCCTTTAATGGAATGTTTCTGGACTCCTCATTTGTTTTCATAAATTTATATTGTCCTCTGGTATAATTTCCTTTCTCCCATAACAGTTTAGTTTCTACCAACCTTTTTTATCATCATCACCAAATACATTACATTTCCATAAGTTATAAGCTCAGCAATACCATTATATACCCCATGACCTTGCCTTTTTACAATTTTAAGTAAGGAATGTGGGTGAAATATGCAACTGAACTTCCATAATTATTTACATAATTTCCTTCATTGGATGTATTCATTTTCCTATTTCAGTTGCTGTGTCTAATTTTTTCATTTGGATTTGTTATTGTCTCAGGTCACATGCTTTCAGCTCAAAGAACCTCCCTCCAGTGTTGACTTCCTTCTTCATTTCTGTTTACCTGGTATTCTTCATTTCATTTGGACAGTACTTGCCTTGGCAATTGGTCTTGGTCTGCGGTGTGTAGCTGTGGAGACCCTCAGTTGGTCTGTAGGACTTTATGTCTGCCCCACATGGCCTGCTGGCCTCCACTGGTGAATCGGACCATGGCCTCTTGGGGCTCTTCTCCTGGGCTGCTTTGTGGTCCCTTGTTCATTTCTATGTTTCAGTCTGACCTTGGTAACATTTTTGACATTGTCTGGGTGTGGTGCTCTTACATTGTCCTGCTTGGACTGTGTTGAACCTGCATATGAGATCTCTTGTCGAGTTTCTGGAATTGCCAGATGGTTTTCTGGTTTCGCTCCCCTCCCCTCTGCACTCCCATCACGTCAGCATGGTTGAGAATTGGCTGCTTTTCTGACACTTAATTTCTCCTCATTCTTTTCCCCACTTCTTCAGATATTGTGATTTTGTTCCTCTGTGTTCCAGTGTGAACAGGGCTCTTCTGTTCCTTTCTGAAGCATCTCTGATTAGAGATGATGATTGGAGGGCCAAAAGAACTGGTCATGGTTCAAATGCACAGGAGTTCACTGTCCCTAAAGAAATCTAGCAGATATGTTCCAGGAAATGCCTCTGCATTCGCCACACACCATCAGGATGTTTTACAGAGTTCCATTAAACAGAGTTTAAACCGTTGTCTCTTCACCTCTATTTTTGTCAGTCATGGCTACTTAATTTGGGAGTCTACGCAAGCCCTCATGCCACCATCCCCAAATGTCTGTCCTGAATTTGAAATGGATTATCCTTTGGTGTCACAATATTGCTGTTGTTTTAACTTTAATTTCCCTGTCAAACATAAATACAAAATGATACAGATGCATTCATGTTCCTCATATGGGAGTTTTGAGCTTTCTCGTAACTAAGAAAGAAGTTAATTTGTAAAATCACCAGTTCATTCCTGATTGTCATGCAATTTTGACCTGGTACATATTTCTTCAGCATTATGTATATATGAATATGCGTACATACATGCACATACGTGTACACATGGATGTTTATTGAAATCAGAGATGCTGGGCAATGGAACGGTCATCTGTAAGGCTAGAAGATAGGGCCTTTTAACAAGTAAGAAATTTTGTTGAATTTTAAACATTTTCTTCTGCTGCTTTAAGCTTGCAAAATTTCGATGCTCAGCCTATCTCGTTTCTAAGTTTTCAGCACATGTTCTGGCCGTGACATTAACGTGTGGTGGGTTGTCTCTCGTTGTCTGTCTGTCGTCTCCGCTCTCTCCTACCTGCAGAAAAGAGGAAAGCCAGCCTGCTGGACCAGCTCACCAACACCAGCGGGACTGTGATTGGCGTGACTTCCTGCATTGTGATCATCCTTATTATCATTTCTGTCATTGTACAGATCAAACAGCCCCGTAAAAAATACGTCCCAAGGAAGTCAGACTTTGACCAGACTGCTTTCCAGGAGGTGTTTGAGCCTCCGCACTATGAGCTGTGCACCCTCAGAGGGACAGGGACGGCTGCCGACTTTGCAGACGTGGCAGATGACTTTGAGAACTACCATAAACTGCGGAGGTCATCTTCCAAATGCATTCACGACCATCACTGTGGATCCCAGCTGTCCAGCACGAAAGGCAGCCGCAGCAACCTCAGCACAAGAGAGGCTTCCATCCTGACAGACATGCCCGCCCAGCCGGTCAAGCCCCTCGGTCCTCCCGTGAGCAGAAGGAACATCCTCGTCATGAAACACAACTACTCCCAAGATGCCGACGCCTGTGACATCGACGAGATTGAGGAGGTGCCCACCACGAGCCACAGGCTGTCCAGACACGACAAAGCCGTCCAGCGGTCAGTATCTATTGATTTTTTGATGATGCTATAATCCCAGGACTCCACCTGTCAGAGTGTGCTGTGCCAGTTTGTCTCCAGATTTCAGTCCCCCCCACCCCCGCCCCGAGTGAAGGCTTCAGCCAGGGTCTCAGCATCTCCCCCTCTTCCTTCCCAGGGCTGCCCACACTCTGTTGAAACCCCTACGTGCAAGATATCTCACACAGACCAAAGCATTTCTATACATATATTTATTTTTCCAAAAATTCTGACATTAAATTAATAACAGATTTATATTGCTGATTCATTTCCACATAGTTCATGAATGTTACCCCTGATAACATTTATATACTTTAAGATAAAATGATATTTGAAAACAATTGCCTTACCAAGATGGCTAACTCATCTTGTTGAATAATTTTAATGCACAAATAATATATTTTGCAATATTTTTAATTTTTGTATGAAAATGGAAAAAAGTTTCCTTGCATATATCTCATTATGCTTATATTACAAATTGGTCACAATAGCATATATGCTAGAAGACGAAACACTGATGTTTATATGCAGCAAGAGTTAGTTAAAATATTTTATCATTGTCCTTTCTATACAAATAATATATACCATATTATCTGTATTCTATTATCAGCCCTAAGAGGAGCAAAAGTTATGGAGACAGAGAACCTAAAATTAGGAAATATTATTTTAAGTTCACACATCCAGTCTTCTTAAACCATGTTCTGCATGTTTCCTAGCATTTAGTTTGTTCTATGAATTTACGCACCGTCTCCATTTGTTATACATTCTCAAAATATAAAGTATTTTAGTTGATTTAATACGTTWTTGCATGCTGATGTAAAACAAGGACTTCCATGGTTTTATGAGTTTTCGAAATGCTTTGCAGTAAATACTTGAATGTGTATGTTTATTTTTGTGTGAATATTGCTTTGTTGAATGAAACAGCCGTAACCTTCCAGGTTCTGCCTCATTGGGTCTCTAAGCAAACATGACTCTGAATACAACACAACTAGGGTCTAAAAAGAAAATTCAAGGTAAGCAAAAACCCTTGGTTCCTTTTCCCACTTTGTTGTATTCTGTTTTGTTTTGTTTCGTTGCTATCGTCTTGTAGTTTTTCAGGAATGTGATGTTTATTCATTATTTCTTGAGATATGTGTTTCATGGCATTTCATAATTAGAAACATAATGGAGAACATGGAACAGTGCTGATGGAGGGATGATTCTTGGACTATTTAACTTTAAAATAAATGTTAGTATTCTTACCAGTAAGTATTGTCCTAAAATGTTATTTAAAAGGATGTTGACAATTTTACGTATTTTAAAGTAAAGATACTAAAAGCAATGAACTTTCTTTAAAGAAAAAAAAACAGAAGAAACTCAAGTTTTATGAAATAAAAAAATGTCATTTATTTTTTTTAAACTGGAGTGAATATATAATACTAGTAATTACTCATATAACTTGACAATATTCTATTCATAACCAAAACACTAAGTATTCAGAGATACTCATAACATTTTTGCACTCTTAGTTTTGCATGAATGTGTAGCTCATCTCATCAAAATTAAATGCAGCATGGTATGTCAAATTTTATAAGATAAAACTTGAATCCTTGATAATGTAAATGGTTTCATTATTATAAGTTGTCTGTGTGCACATCTGTTTTGTCACCAGATATCACAGTGGCTCTATTTTTGAAACTTGCAAGAGTCTCTATCAATGTCCATTTAAATTTGTTAAACAGCTAGTCTCCTCAGGACTCTTCCAGTTTATCCACCATTCCTGAATTAGATAAATGCATTTCCATGCTCTGTACTACCTTGATAAATTGGTGTATTTGCTTGCATTTTTCACTGGGAGAAAATGTTTTAACTGTGTTTTATTTTCAGAAAAGAACTATTTATACAAACATGGGGACTGTGAAAAGAAAATTCTATAGTGAATTGTGAAAAGTGGACCTATTTCTAAATTCATTCCACTGCCTTTATCCAAACTTAAGAATTACAGACATTTGTTATTTCTTCGGCAAGACATCCCCGCTGCACAATGATATGTTCATTTCGTAATTTGGTTGCTGGCCACCAAGTGCTCCTTAGTTTTTAAATACATTTTGAGATTTACTGGAAACTTGAAGAAGAAATTAGATCCTGATTAAGACGATCCCAACTTTATTTTTATTGTCAGTTTCACTTTTGTTTCTGTGTTGGTTCTGTCTTTGTTATGTAATTGTACATTGTGTGATGTGTGGAAAACACAACCCTGGACGAACCTTCGGTTACATGTAATTGTTTTCATTATATAGACTTCTTGAGAATAGTGCGTTCCTGAGTGGTTTTGAACATGCTACAGAGGAAAGTGAAAATGTGGACCATGGAAACACCAGCTAGAGGTTTTATGGACTACACACCTATTGTTTTATTATGATTAAATGCAGTAAAAAGTTATGAGTCCAATTACTAGATTGCAATAAGAAAAATTTCATTTTTTTTTTCTCTCCTACATTCCCTTGATTTCTTTTTGTTCTCTATCAAAGGGAGGTACCAAGTTTCAAAACAGCTTTTGAAACCAGGTACTTCACTGTTCATATCCTACCACAGAGATGTTTTTGACTAAGTACTTAGCAATAGGACTGGATCGACAGTCTGAGAAACTACCCTGCATGTCAGTACTGGATATTTGAGTTGGGAAAAATACCCTCTTTATTAGACACATTGTAAAAAGCATGCATTCTCAAATATTGCTGTTACTCTTCCATTTCTTTGTGTCACATGCTTGCTACTTGTAACGTTTTTATATAAAGATATATAAAATGTATAATTATTTCCTAACTTGAGTTAAGAGAAATGTTTTCTTCTGTTAGACGGATTCAAACTCACTTACAGGAGAACAGGTTTTATTTATATCAGTTCTTCCCACCTTTCAGAGCATAAGACATCCTTTAGTATTTAGGTTTACTTCCCTAAATATTTGATTTTTAGAATTTTATGGAGTATGTTCTCCTTTTAGGATAGGAAAATCATTTTAAGCACTTTAAAAGCGTAGGCCTTTATGACCTTGAACTGCATCATTGAAACATTCTTGTCCTCAGCACACAAAACACTTGAAAGCTAGTGATGATGATGTGTTATATACAAAGGAAGTCAAACCTGTAATGGTAACTGCTGCTGAATTGTAGACACACTCTATATTTGATTTATTCAGTGGTAAATTTTAAAAATATTAAATGCATATTCTTTGAAAATGAATTTTAAGAACCAGTATTACTATAAATCTGCTTATAAAATTTTCCAAACTATTTGATTCTATAGCTGAAAAGATTCTGACCTTCAAATAGAAAAGCAATCTGTTCTACACAATTCAGTCCTGGCAACACAGGCAGGCTTCACCAACTACCAGATAAATCATGTCTTATGTCCCTGTTAGGAAGTGCATTTGGTTTATGTTTAAAAAAAAAGTAAATGAAAAATATAGTAATTTTATAGAAGAATCAAAGAATTACAGCAATTCTGAATACTTCATATTTATTGGAAAAAAACTAACAAAAATAATCACTTCCATGAATTTGATAAACTGGTGAATAGAAAATGTATTGGACATTATAAAGATCAATTTTTACTATTATTTTACCTATTTTGATACACGTTACTTGTGATAAAAAAAATTACCATTTTTTCAAACTTTGCTTGGCTGATTTATTTATTACCATACTTACTTTTATGTCCCTTATTTCAAAGTTGATGCACCAAAGATTATTTTTAAATAAATAGCCATATTTTATATAGTTTTCACACTTCAGGAATCTTCATAGGCCCTCATCTGCTTTAAATGACTAATGTTAACCATATGATATACACATCTCGACTTTTTATTTACAACAGCAATGAAGATAGGAAAATAAAGTAGGTGAAGTTTACTATACTACAGGATGAATCCTGTAGCTCTTCACAGGATATCCATTCCCTCCATTTCTTTTAAAATGTGCAGAATGGTACTGATCTGCTTATTCTCTGCTTAAAAGATATTTGTAACAGGAATCCACTAATAGGTACTTCAAATTTTTTATTGTCAAACCAAACTAAGTATAATGATAGATGGATAACTTGCATATATTTAAAACACAATAGCTCCACAGGAAAAGAAAAATATTTCAAGTGAAGAATGGGCCTCCTGTGTGATGATGGTAAAGTTATTTAACACACATAAGCACCAATTCATCAGAAAAGAAGATGTGGTAATGCTGGGGCAGGGACCTGGAGGCACTCCTCTGTCCCTGGCACCAACTTGAGGCTCTGAACCTGGGGATGCAGGGCTCCAGCAAGGCTTGGACATGTTCCTTGGAGACCCCTGGATGTCTCAAATTCAGTATTGAAATCTCTTTTTATATCAAAACTCCTGTTTCATGGTTTCATCAGACCCCATCAATTTTAGCCTATATTACAAAATGGGGACACCTGTAGGTAAGGGAGAATATGTTTCAAATCTTTTAAATCAAATTATTTTAATGAACAATTATATTTTTTCATAAAGTGAATTCAAATATGCTAACCTGAGTGGGGTTTTTTATTTTTTAATCTTTTTTTAAAAAATTTCATTCTTCTTAGTTATACATGACAGGAGAATCGATTTTGATAAAATTATACAAACATGAAATATATCTTATTCTAATTAGGACCTCATTCTTGTGGGTGGGAATGATGGTAGGATTCACTTAGGTGTTTTCATATGTGTATGTAGGAACATGATGTTAGATTAACTGTACTATCCTTCCTATTCCTGTCCCCACTTCCTTCCTTTCATTCCCCTCTGTCTAATCTACTGAATTTCTCTTCTTCCCCTCCTGCTCTTTATTGCAATTTAGCTTCCACATGTCAGCAAAAACATTTGACCTTTGGATTTGGGGGATTGGTTTATTTCACTTAGCATGACAGTYTCCAGATACATCAATTTACTGACAAATGTCATAAAATCATCCTTCTTTATGTCCGAGTAATACCACAATTTCTTTATCCATTCTTCTGTTGATGGGTGTCTCGGTTGGTTGGTTCCATAGCTTAGCTAATATGAATTATGCTGCTATGAACATGAATGTGGCCATGTCACTATAGTATGCTGATTTTAAATCTTTGGGTATATGCTGAAGAGTGAGATAACTGTGTCAAATGATAGTTGCAGTCCTAGTTTTTTGAGGAATCTTCTTACTGCTTTCCAGAGGTGTTGCACTAATTTGCAGTCCCACTAACTCTGTATGAGCACTCCCTTTTCCCCACATTCTCGCCAACGTTTGTTGTTACTTGTATTCTGATCATTGTCATTCTGACTGGGGTGAAATGGAATCTCAGTGTAATTTTCATTTGCATTCCTCTAATTGCTAGAGATGTTGAACATTTTTTTCACATATTTGTTGATCATTCTTATTTTGTGTTTTATTAACAAAATGTTTTCAAATAATGGGTGAAGTTAGCCCAACGTTGGTGTAATAAAGCTCTGTGTTTTTCTATGTTTGGATTCACTGTGCAAAATCTTGGTGGTGTGTCACACTCACAGGCAACACCAGTGAAGCTCTGAGTAAGGCTCTGTACCTCTGCACACATGCCTTTTTGTTCTCTTCTTCAAGGTTGGTGTGGAAATCTCCTTTTTAAATCCATTTTACATACATTCCAGTTGATACATCAGACTGCAAAATTCACATATGAGGTAGTTGATTTGCCATAATTGATTTTTATTTGATTACATAATTAAAATGTGGCTATAAACACAATTGAAGATCCATGTTTTAAAGTTAGACCTTTGACTTTCCTTGAATATTCATGTAAGTGACTGCATTACCTTTTTCTCTATTTTCCCCTTAGGACATCAGGGTTTCCTTATATTTTATAACTTTTTAATAAAATCAGTGAATGGGTTTTCCTTGGCCTCAGAATATAATAAAAATTTATGAAATATGATCCTGGTTCCCATTCCCTTTATTAATGGAAATAGTGCACAGATGTTTTGGTAGTGAAATAAATGATAGCAGCTTATCACAAAGCTTATGCATCGCACGATGCAAATGCACATCAGCCTCCAGCTCTGGAGGAAAGCTAACAAAGTAGACTGAGTTCTCTGCATCCTAAATGGACATGACTGGAAAGTGAGTTTCAGTCTGCCCAGTTTGACAGGTCACTTTCTGCCTACATTTTCCTTTATTGGCTCATTTCTGTGCCTCCCAGGATGGCATAAAGGACCTGGCCAGGAAATTTTTTAGTAGATGAAGGAATAAGGAGAACCTGATTGATGTAGTTAATCTAATCTCTTATTTATGTAGTTAATATTTCCCACATCCCTTTAAATGACTGAATAAACTATCAAAGATATATTTTTAAATATCCATGGATCTTTTAAATCAATAATCCAGTTCAATAAATCCAAGGCCCTTAATTAATTTAAAATTACCATATTGGTTTTTTAAAATATTTTTTAGTTGTTGATGGACCTTTATTTTATGCATTTATTTATTTGCGGTGCTGAGAATTGAACCCAGTGCCTCACACATGAGGCAAGCGCTCTACCACTGAGCCACAGCCCAGCCCCCCATGGTGTTCTTATTAATGAATGTTTATATTGTGCTACACAACTTTTTAAAAGTTGATCATATCATTCAAATAATTGGAACAGTGTTGCAAAAGTGGCAGGTAGAGGTGACTGGTGACACATGCTCCTAACCACTCCTGAGTCTCCTTGCTGCTCAAGTGCTATATGTCCTTGGAAGTTCTCAAGGAGGTAAATGCTCTTACCTGGCCTTTAAGTTCTTGAGGATCGGAAAAGTGAACTTGACCTGTTTCAGACTTCTTCCCTCTGCTTGAGTGTTTTCCAGAAGGTTCTACTCCCTAATTTGCTCCTTCCAGAGATCTTGTCCCCTGATTCGCTCCTTCCGTAAAGTCCTGTTCCTTAATGACTCCTTCTATCCAAAGTGATTGTGCATCCAACCTGATCCTTTTCATCCTTACTTTCTCTCCAACCACTGAAGCATGCTATTTTACAGTGGTTCCTTCTTTGAAATAAACATTTTGGCCCTTCTCTTCTTAATAGTCACAGATACTGACATAAATTTTTTAAATTATGAGAACACAAAATATATAATTCCTTTCATATCAGGTTGCAAAATTTGTACTCTTTATTTTCTTGCCCATGAGTTAAACTTGCCTCAATATGGCTAGACTTTTTGAGTCTATACAATGCCCATGCCAGACCTCCTCCTAGGTACTTGGGGAAAGAAAACAAAGAAGGCACTCTAGTAGGGGACACAATGACAAGGACAGGTAGAAGGAATGGGGCTTTGAGGAGCTGTAGAAGGGACTTTTTCCATCTTGGAAAAAAAAAAAAAACCCTGAGTTCCTGTTATATCATCTTCTGTGGAAGATAGAACATACTCAACTGCCAAGAGACTACAGTACAGACGATGTTTCACAATCAAGAAGTTAGTAGCAGAAACGGGAAATAACTTCTAAGCAGGATGGAA